AAAAAAAAAAAAAAAAGCAGCTCTGACACCTCCAACCCACAAGTTTGTTTTGGATATCAATCAACCTGAAAGACTAGTCATATAGGAACAGGAACTGCCCTTTGTTCTGCTTGCTTAACACAAACGGAACCAAACCCTCCATGAAACATCCAAGCACAAGGCTGAGGAAAAGAAGTTTCTGCTTCTTAGGAGCTAGCCTGTACGGGACAGAAAATGCTCTGAATTCCTAAGACACCGGCAGCAATTTTCTAGGCGCCTAGAATTTTTCCATCCATGTGCTAGTATGCAACACAATCCTGCCGCTGTGCACACCGTGAAGAGTTCACAGGGTCACAGCACTCGCCTTTAATACACACACAGTAACAAAAGAACTGTTAATCAGAGTGACAAAAGTCTCAACATTTTCCACTCATTCAAAGAGCATTAAGAGTGGAGTAGAGATTCTGATCCATGACATGACAACATTCCAGGTTAATCTTTGCAAAGCCCCCCTCCTCCTTTGTTTAAAGGTTTGGATTGACCTAAGATTGTGAGAACAATCCCAGGGCCTATTTAGGAAGGAATCCATGTTCTTATCACTTTTTCAGATCATGCTGATGGAAACAGTTAGCTAATGCTGACTAAGAACTACCCAGGTCTACACACATTACCACCACCAAATGGCCACTGCTTTCACAGTGCAGTACTCCAACATCAGCTGTTCCTCTCACCACAGTACTGTTTGGAATTGTACTGTGTTGATAAATAAATAAATAAATAAATAAATAAATAAATCTTTTTAATGTGGAAGCCACCAAATCCTGATTCTGGGGAAAAGATGGGATATAAATAAACATGATGATGGTGATGATAATGATGATGATGATGATAAAAAAAATAATAGCACAAGGTGGCAGTTTACATGCATAAGCAACATTCTCTAATCCACCCTCCCCCAGATAATGCCCTTCAAATGTTTCATACTACAAATCCTGACATCTCTGGTCACTGCTTCTGCTTTCTGGAGTTGCTGTGACATGCAATAAAATTACCTCAAAAACATTAGCAAACTTTGGAAAGTTACCTTTTGAATGCATTTCATTAGGTAACTCATTTCAAAGTCCACCTCCCCCTCCCCATAATTTGTTACTGTTAATATTGCATGGGTCTTGCTGTTGTGAGCTATGTGAGCTATTGCCTTTTGAGAAGGCTATCTTATGCACATGGCATAAAATATAGAATATTTCACCCATAAAAATGTGCTCTAAAAGTAACTAAAAACTTCTACCACCATCTTTCTGTTATTGTTCCCACTCTGTTACACCTTTGCTACTTACATACATACTTAATAATAATAAATTGCATGTTATTTGTAATTCATCACTACTACTTCTGAAGAAGGCATTAGAATTAAGTCACACAAGCAACATGATAAGTTTCTCCCATTAGCGATTTACACATTCCATCATAAATGCCATATGAAATGAGGTGCAGCTTCTACTCAATTGCACTGCATGTAGACTGGCCTTTAACGAACTCACAGTCGAGGAATAATTATAAATTGGAGTCAACCAATTCATTTAAACCAATCCCATCTCTCACACACACACCCCGCAAAAAAACAACAACACTGCAACCTTTCCAACCATTAAGAATGCATACCTACTGTTATATTACAACACTGAATTTCTACATTAGCCACCATTTTAAACATGAGTGAAATGCTAGTTAACTGCAGCTAGCTACATAAATCCATCAGATGAAGCTTTTCCCACTAAATACTGTACCTCCAATGCCAAGAAAAGGCGCCTGGGCCACATCTGTTGTATGTTCAGCTACTATAAATAGCAGGCATAAAAGGGTGGTACTACCCTAATTCAAGTCAGTCATACATCAAATGGAGGTGAATCAGTAAGTTTAGACAACAGAAATAGGGATTGTTGGGCAGTCATAAAGAAGAGCAAATTAGGCCATGTCATTAAAAAGACACAAGCCATCAAAGGCTAAGTATCAAGAGCAATGATCTACAAAATGTAGGTGTGGCCCATGTATGTTAGCATAATACAAAGACTGAAAAGGTAGACAAAAAGCCAACTGGGATTAGACTGAAACATCAGCTAATACTGTAAGGGCACTTGCTTGAACATCTAATATAGGTTTGGCTAACTCTGTCCAAAAAGGTCTCATCTGTCCTCATCTGTCATTATACACTGTTACACATTGGTGAAAAGAAAACTATTTGGCAAAAGTAAGGATTTTCTGTCACAACACAGAACTTTGCCATAAATCAGAATTTGGAAGCATTACTTTTTTGGACTACAAATAACAACATTCCCAGGCACCGTGCTGGGGAATTCTGGGAACTGTAGCCCAAAAAGCAACTTTTCCAACCTCTGCTTCACAGTTACTGATAGATAGGCTCTACTGATAACAGCTTAAAACTGCATGAGCTCACTTCAGTAATGCACTGCACTGAAATGGTTGCTGTTTTATTTCCCTGTGGACAGGGATTTACTCTCCCTCTTTGCCTGCCCATTTATATAGAATGAGCAGCAATAGCAGTAAAGATTAAAGAGCATCTGCTCCGAGACTCATCAGATCACAATGGACAAGGGGGAAAGCTTTCATCTCCAGCTGCTTCAGAGGAAACCTATAATCATTCATCATTATAGGATGCTACTGAATCTGTGGCCAGTTTAACTGGAACAGGGACACAATTGACAAAAACTGGGAACAAGATGAATACTCAAGCTCAACACGGGAAGGGGGAAACAACATACCTATGACAGCTAATTTCTCATAAATTAGGGGGCAGAGTTGTTCTGCATTTCGTTGATGCAAAATGTGAAAG